TTCGGTGGAGCTCCCTATGGGGCCACGAAACGTGTGAGAGGTGTGCCGGCATGGGTGTGGAGTGACGATAACGGCGATGATGATGGCGATGATGGTGATGATGACGATGATGCTGATGATGCTGATGATGATGCTGATGATGCGAAGAGGGGGGAGGGGGAGGAGGAGAGGAGACGCGGGGCGCTGTCTCTTCAAAACAAAGACCCGACACCACAGGATGGTTGGAAAAACCACGGCGGAAGGCCTTGGGTCATTTCCGACCTCCGAGGGCATTCCGGCGCTTCTCGACGGCCCCGGGGCCTGGTGAGGGCTCTCAGAGGCCGAAGGCCTGCGAAGGACGACGAGACGAAGTGGGTGTCTCGGGGGCGGCCAAGAGGGGGGCGTCCAAGAGGAGGGGGAGGGCGCAATCATGGCGGGCGGCACGCGCGCGGCCCGGGGGGAGGCTGGGGACGTGTTGCGATAAGAAGACGCGCCATGAGATCTGGGGAAACACCACGGACCCCGCCATGATATCCACCGCACCCCGGTCATCACCCGAGTTTCCGGCCTTGTCGCCCTTCCGCAGCGAGGACACCACCCCGCCAGGGCCGAACGTCTCGGCGATGACGCTGTTGACGTTGCCGAACGGCCGGTTCTCCGCCGCCGCGGCGCTCGAGCTCACGCCGAGGAGGGCCTGCTCACTCTCGTAGAGCAGGAGGTCCTCGAGGGCAGATTCGCCGACTGGAAGACGACGACGAGGACGACGACGACGACGACGACGACGACGACGACGACGACGACCACGACGACGACGACGATGCAGAACGCATACGCCTGGCCCTACGACGAGGACGGCCCTACGACGGCTGGACGACGGTGAGCAGGAGAACTGGGAGACGGCGAAGACGACGGCGGCCAAACCACGCCAGACGAAAACGATTATGACAACGACGACCAGACGACGTCCGGGCGACGACGACGACGACGACGAAGACGAAGAAGGCGATGACCGACGACGACCGACGACGACCAGACGACAACCAGACGACGGCCAGACGACAGCGACGAGAGCGCCGACGGTGGCCACGACGACGACGCTGGCGACCGAGGGCGACGACGCCACCTTGAAGGTGGACAGCAGGTTCGACGACGAGGAGCCCTGCGCCAGCTCCGGGTTGTTCCAGCAGGCGCCCGCGAGCTCGAGGCGCATGGCGCCAAACTCCTAGCGGGGAGGGGAGGGGAATGGAGCGGGCCTGCTCCCACTCCTCCTGCGAACGCAAGGAAAATCGAGACACACCCCCTGACGCACTTTTCACCACGAGCGCCGAGAGCTCCTCCTCCTCCTCCTCCTCCTCCTCCTCCTCCTCCTTCTCATCTCCTTTCCCTATAATACAGCCAAGCTGCTATTATTGAGGAGCGCCAGAGAAGGAACGTAGCCTTTCTCTGCCCCGAAGGCGCCTGAGCCCTCGAGGAGCGTAAGAGGAACAACCATGGAAGGATCTGAGGATCAGCGGGTCATGTCCGAACCCGACCTGTTCCTCGTTTCAGCGTCTTGGCTGTCACCCGTCCCTATCGCACCACCAGACGTGCCCGTAGGCCAGGCCAGGCATCTTGCTTGAGACTTCACTGCCAAGCATCACCCCGAAGCTTGGATCCCCTAACAACCACACGGATGGAGGGCCGGTCGTTCTCATGATGTGGCCCTCGCTCAGCACACGGATGGAGGGCCAGTCGTGTTCAAAACACGATTGTCGCCTGAGAGCCGCCCAGATTCGTTTCACGTGTTTCCAGCATGGACACGGATGGAGGAGGCACGTTGTCAACATGGGGAGGGTCGCACGAGACTCCCCAAAGCAATCAGACCATATGAGTGAGCATTCGCAGCAGCTACACGGATGGAGGATGTCCTGGTCAAAGGGAGGGTCTCGCCTGGACAGGAAGATTAAAAGTGTGCGGCCGCTACACGGATGCCGGGCGTTTCGGCTTCAAGGCGGCGCTGTCGCCGGGCACCTCCTCGAGAGGCAAAGGCCTGCCTTGACAGATCCACGCCGGCTCGAAGGGTGGAGGGCGCTTTTCCTCAGAGCGGAGTCCCCGCCTGAACTGCGGGCCTGCGGGGCGCGCGTCTCTCAGGGGAAGAACGGCGCTTCGCGCAGCGACGGGGAGAGCATGCAGGGACTGCTGGGGAGGGGGCCTGGGATGGGAAGGACTACTTTGCAGCACCGTTGATACAGCTTGGGTCTACGCTGGTCCTTCTCAAGGCCTCTCTCGGTCTGGCTGGGGAGTCGTGTGGCGCAGTGATCAAGGGAGAACGTTAGCTAGGCTGTTCTGCCCGCTTGGGGGATTCCACTCTGAGACCAGCGTGGCCGCCGAGTTTGCAGCCCCAGCGAGTGCAGCTTCCATTCTGGATGGTGAGGCTGAATTTTTCTCTGACTGCCAAGTTGTTGTAGATGAATTTTCCAAAAACGCTCGGGACCGTGTGCATCCGAACCGGCCTCACAGTGGCCTGGTGATGCAGACGGACGCATCCTCCCAGGGTCTTCTCAGTGGTGTTTCCAAGGTTCGGGCCCACCAGGAAGACGACGGGGTCCTCCCGATGGCCGATCGTCTGCACATTATTGGGAACAACGCTGCAGATATACCTGCGAAGGAGGGTGCACTGATGCACCCCAGGATGTCTGAAGCCGAATCTTCTGGCATTCACTTTTCGTGCTCTGTTGCTCGTGCTGTGACAAAGCTGGCTGCTCAGATCATGGAGAGATGGCCTCGCACGGATCTCGAGGGGGTCTCTCGTGTCGAGCCCCTGCCCCCGAAGGTTAAGGATCCGAGGCCACCGCAGGGTCGGGCGCTTCTGGCAGTGTCATCTTTGCCTGCGGGGTTCCCGATCCGTGGCGAAGCCAGCAACAGGTTTTTGCAATCGCCTTTTGCGCGTCGACCCCGCAAGCTGCAGGAGCTCGAGCACCGATGCCTCGTGGTAGACTTCAGCGACAACAGTTCCGCTTGCGTCTTCCAGGCATGTGGGGCTTTCACGACTGGAGGGCAGGTGAGGCGGCTCGCCAAGAAATGAGACGGCTGTTCGCCTGCTCGTAGTCAAGCTTGGTCGAGATTGTGCAAAGGTCTCCACCCCGATCATAAGCGGGTCGGGGAAACTGCCGATGTCGAGACTGTTTGCCCCCTGTGAGGGGGTCTGTGGCGGTGGATGTCAAAAGAGGCATCCTGCTCCTCCTCCTCCTCCTCCTCCTTCTCCTCCTCATTATCATCACCCTGCTGCTCCTCCTCCTCCTCCTCCTCCTCCTCCTCCTCCTCCTCCTCTTCCTCCTCCTCCTCCTCCTCCTCGTCCTCCTCCTCCTCCGTCTCCTCCTCCTCCTCCTCCTCCTCCTCCTCCTCCTCCTCCTCCTCCTCCTCCTCCTCCTCCCCCCTCCTGCTCCTCCGCCTCCGCTTCATCGCACGCGGCTGCCTGTGAGTCACCGCGGGCACTGGCCGGCAGGCTGGCTCAGCTCCTCCTCATTCTCCTCCTCCGGCTCCCCCTCCTTCTCCTCCTCCAGCGGGTACGCGCAAGGTCCGAACCAAACCACAAGCCCGAAGACTTGTTTTGAGACCGTGGGAAAATGTGTCTGGCCTTCTTGTGAAGCACCACCCTTGTCTCTGGCCTGTGGATCATCCAGCCCAAAGAAGGAATGAAGAATCTGTGTTCGGGCCTTGCGGGTCGTTCCTCCTCCTCTTCCTCCTCCTCCTCGCCTCCTCGTCCTCCCCCTCCTCGCCCTCGTACTCCTCCGCCCGCATCATCCCGACCAAGGAGCTGCCCACGACCTCTGCTGTGGCGGTGGTGCACCACAGCTGGTGCGCCTGCAGAAGGGGGCCGCGCGATCTGCCCGCGGTACTGCAGGTCGACCTCCTGGCTGGCGGGACCGACATGGCCGCAGCTCCCGCGGTCTCCCCGCGAGCCCCCGGACGTGTCGCAGCCCAAGGCCGAAGCGATCATCCAGCACGTCGGCGCGCAGGCGGTGGCCCTTTCCTCGGCGGCCCAGCTCGCCACGCGGGCCCTCGACGCGGCGCCGCGCCTCGACGACCCTGGCAACCTGGGGGCGCCAGTCGAGACGCGCTGGGCGGTGGGCGACGGCTGCGTGGATGTGAACGGCCATCAGCCTCGACGAGCTGGGCCCATCGTCTTCTGCAAGGTGTGCGTGTCCCCGTCGGGTGCGGGGACATCCCGCACGCTGCAGGCGCCGTGCCTTCGGCTGCCAGATGCCGAGGGCCGCGGCGAGCGCACCTGCCTGTCCAACTTGCGCTCGCGGCTTAAGAAGTTGCAGCCGATAGGCATCCCGAGGCGGGTGCTCCCTTGTCGTGGAAGAGTCGGCCAGCTGATCGGGTGAGCCTGGCGGCGGCGGTGACCACAGCACACAACACGCAACACACAACACACACAGAACACACAACACACAACACACAATACACACAACCCACACAACACGCAACACACAACACAAAACACACAACACACAACACATAACACACAACACACACCACACAACACACAAACACAACACAAAACACAAAACACAAACCACACCACACAACACACAACACACAACACATGCACAACGCACGACACAAAACACAACACACAGCACACAACACACAACACACACACACACACACACACGCGCACACAAACACCCGCACACACACACACACACACACACACACACACACACGCACGCACACGCACGTGCGCAAACACACACACACACACACGCGCACGCACACACACACACACACACACACACACACACACACACACACACACACGCCAAGTGTAGCACGATCCCCTGTGAAGGCGACCACAGCGCCAGCGCGAACCACGCACGGCGCTAGTGTGTTGTGTGCGTTTGTGTATGAATGTGTTCATTCGTTCGTTCGCTCGTTCGTTCGTTCGTTGCCCGCCACAGGCGGGACCGTCACATCCTCGCACCAGGCTCACGACAGGCCGCCCTCCGAGCGAGACATGCCAATGACGGTGACTGAGGGGGAGGTGCACTGGTGGGGCACGCTCCACTGTGCGGACACCCAACCACACCGAACAAGCACACAACCCCGCACCGACACGCAGCCTTCTAGAACTCCCAACCACAAGGACAGGTCCCTCTCTGGAACTGGAACGCCCAGCCGCAGCCATCATGCGTCCCAACACACAAGCGCGAGCCAGCTCCCACGACGCAGCCGGGCAGGCGTGCGTGCTTTTCGCCGCGGTGTCCCGCTCCGCGTGGCGCGATGGGGTAACACCCCTCCGCGCGACACCGCACAAGGGCTCGCTTGAGCATATGGGCGCACGGGATGGCGAGGGTGCGCGTACCATTGAGCCAACATGGGGGGTGGGCACGGGAAAGGAAAAGGGAAGGCGGGAGGGACGAGGAACTGGATATTGGAGTCAGAGACGGGTGCAAGTAGCCACCACCCGAATAATTGATGGCCTTGGGCCCGGCACGGCGGGTACAGGGGCGGAGCCTAGACAGGTTTATGGCAAGTCACCGACGACAACGAAGGCGACACTCCCTCCTGGACGATACGAGTTAATGTGCTCCGCCAAAACTCCACGTGCCGCAGCAGCCCGGCGGGTTCAGAGGGGTCGCAACGCTGAAGGCGTTCTTTGTCAATCCGCAGCCTCTGCAAAAGACACCGTGAATCGGGCAGCCAGACCGCAACCAGAAGGGGCGCGGTACGGGCAAGGTCCAAGAACTCGAGGCGGAGGCGCTCGTGCAGTGGCCGCGAGTCGACGGGGAGGCTCGCCTCGCGATTGCTGCGGGGGCATGCTGGCAGGAGCGGCGCGGAGGGACGGGACTAGAGCCGATGCTCTGGACACGACAGCACAGCACAGCACAGCACAGCGCAGCACAAGACAGCACAAACAGCACAACACAGCACAACACGGCACAGTACAACACAGCACAGCACAACACAGCACATCACAGCACAACACGACACAGCACAACACAGCAGCGCACATCACAGCACGCGTCATTTGGCGTGTGTGTGTGTACGCGTGTGTGTATGTGCGAGCAAGTGTGAGTGCAAATGCGTGTAAATGTGTGTAAGTGTATGTGAGTGTGTGTAAGTGTGTGAGAGTGCGTGTAAGTGTGTGTAAGTGTGTATGTAAGTGTATGCAAGTGTGTGTAAGTGTGTGTAAGTGTGTGTCAAGTGTGTAAGTGTGTGTAA